TCCTGAACGAGTAGTCCTTTTCAAAGGAGGCTTGTGACTAAGCCAAAGCTGGTTTTAGCAAAAAGGCCAGATGGTGAGAAAAACAAACAAAAGCCCCCAAAGTAAACACTGATTAAAATACAAAGACTGAGCATATCACAGGGGGCATCAGCCCCAGGAAGACCACAGGTCCTTTGGTCACCTGCTTGCATCAGCCAGTGCTTAGAAAGCCAAAGGTGTGGCATACAGAGGAAACCTCCCTGCAACTGGTCAAACTTTTCTCTGACTGAAAGGGAGGACCTGCAGCCCTTCAGAGGGTGTGGGACAAGATGCCTCTGGGTGTGGCCAGAGTGACGGCAAAGTTCCTTGGTCCTTTCTGCTATAACCAGAATTGAAATGTCAAGGGCTGAGGATGTTTGGGGATCACTTCCTGCCTAGGAACAGAAGGCTTCATCCAAGGAGTGGCATGACGAGGAGGGACTCTGAAATGAACCACCTAGGGAAAAGTTTGCAGGCAGTCACAGAAAGGAAGGAGGTTTAATAAATGGTTCATACATTTGAAAATAAATCTTGTGAAGGATGCAGCATAATGTTGAATTAAGAACACAGGTTTCCACAGACCCAGTCTAAAAATAACAACAAAAAAAAAAGAACACAGGTTTTGGAGTGAGACTGACCTGGGTCCAAATTCTGTCTCCACCTCTTACTAGCTAAGCAATGTCAAAGCATCACTCATGCGAGGGGGAGAGGGGGGTGTGCGCTCAAGGCAGCCTGATAGTGCCTCAGCAATTCAGTGATTTTAGTCATGTAGCAACACTAAATTCATTGATTTATTCATTCATTTATTGAACAAATGAGTTATGTTCTTCCTTGCTGAGAACACAATCCTAGCTTTGGTATTCATCCCAAATGCTAGATTTTACAATTACTTATTTTTGCAAAGGCCCGGCTGAAAAAGTGTTTTACTTTCACTGAGCACAAGAGCCAACCATTTCAACCCTCTTCAGGCTAGATTTCACAGATTACTAAGCACAGTGAGGAGCAGGTGCAACCTTTAGAAGCAAACACAGCTGTATTCAATTAAAAGTACACCTCTAATTGGTCTCATTAAATTCGCATGAAAGGGAGACATGGTTGGCACATACCAGACACCTAGTCGCTGCCATCTTCCTGCCTACAGGGCACCACTCTGGAAGGAAGACAGATGTAAGAGCTGCATAGAAGCAAGGTGCCGGCTGCTCTCCCACTCTCCCAGTTCAGAGCCATTTCTAACGAAACTCCAGGGGTTCTGTTTCCACCATCTCTTGCTGTCTAGCAAATCTCCCCTAAATTTACTGGATTAAACCAACCATTTCATTTTCTGACATGATTTTTCTGTGTTGACTGGGCTCAGCTAAGGAGTTCTTCTGCAGCACATAACCTTTGCTCAGGCTGCAGTCATCTGGAGGCTTAGGAGGGCTGAGAAGTCCAAGAGGGCTCACTCCATGTCTGCAGTTTGGTGGGGAGAGCTGGGAGGCTGGAGTAGCTTGAGCCTCTCTCATCTGGGTGATCTCAGATCAGCCAGACTTTCTTACATGGTGTCTTAGCGCTCTCCAAAGGGCAAACACAGAAGCTACCAGGCTTCTTGTGGCTTAGGCCCAGAACTGCCACTTCCCCACATTCAGTTGGTTAAAGCAAGTCACAGATCATCCTAGATTCATCACAGAGGGGAATGCATAAGGGTGTGAATCTTGGGCCACATGGGTCAGTGGGGGCCGTCTTTGGAGAACAGCTCTCATGGGCTCTCTAACTGGGGCTTCATAAGGATATGAGAGATTGAAGTACAGAATGTGCTAGAGTGCTTATTTAACAGTAAACTTAGACAAAGCAGAACAAAAGTTATACAAATACTATGGAGTGAGATTCTGGCATTAATTTTCATATCTCATTAAGGAATTGGGGAAAGTGTTAATTAGATACGGTTTAGGTAAATGTCTTTCCTCTAGTCCTTTGGTGACATTTCTTTTATCTTGCTTTACATCATCTGTTGGGCTTCTCCTGTGATTCAGGTAGTCATGATGCAATTATCACCTCTCTTCTGGGGAATGGCATTTATGTTTATTGCTGAGGAATCTCCATCTCACCATCTTCTAGCATCCAAAGTTCATAATTTACATGAAGAATTTTATCAACTGTCTCCACAGCCCCAGATGCTACTGTCCCTCATGGCTCCCAATGATGCTGAAAACTTAAGGAAGGATGGTCTCCTCCAATATACACTCTGAAATACTACCCTGCTAATAAAAGTTTTTCTACCTGTGACACCCTCTGAGTTTTGAAAACTTTTTGTCTGTGAATAGCCGGGGGTGGGGGGTGGGGTAAAAAAGCCCTGGATTTTTGCCAAAAGAGTGATTGATCTCCAGGTTATATAGAACCTGAAAAAGGACCCATACATAACAGGATATCTGATATGTAGTAGATGCTCAACACATATTCATTGAGCAAAATAATAAATGCCATGATAATTGTTATGAGGAATCAATGAGTGCTGTGTTTTGAATGTTTATGTATCCCTCAAATTCCTATGTTGAAATCCTCACCTGCAAGGCAATAGCATTAGCATTGCCTAATGCATTCCAAGCATAGTTTCCTTGGAAATTATGTGTAATTAATTGTGCTTAGAAAGAAAGTAGAAAGTGACTTCCTCCAAAAAAGGAGGATTCACATCTGCTTTTGTGGGTGTCTGGGAGAAATACCAACCTAACTGGGGACTTTGGGAACTGATTAGATCAAGAGGGTGGGGCCCTCATGGTGGAGTCGGTGCCCTTACAAAAGAGATCCCAAAGTGCTCGCTAGCCCCTGATACTGTGTGAGGACACAGCAAGGAAGTGCCGTAGATGAACCAGGGAGCCGGCCCTCTCTAGATATCAAATCTGCTGGTGTCTTAACCTGGGACTTCCAGTCTCCAGAACTATAAGAAATAAATATCTGTTGTTTATAAGCCACTTCGTTTATGGTACTTTGTTATAGCAGCCCAAGTGGAGTAAGACAATGAGTCCCGGACTTGAAACAATGTGGGTGTCAATAGTTTTTAGTTACCATTTTGGTGTCTGCTCCATTTCTTATTCTCCAATACAAAATGAGCCCCCAAATATTAATTCTGAATGTTAGATTGCCCTAGCCATCTACTGAAACCATTTTTCTCAGTGTCTTTTAATGGGAACATTTAATACATTTACATTTAACAATCAATATCTTTGGTATTTCTGCCATTCATTTTGTGCTATTTGTCTCATTCTTTTATTCCTCTTTATCTCTCTAGTTGCCTCCTTTTGGACTTTTTTTCATTCTATTTTTTTCCTTTCCATTAGCTTCCAAATCATGCATTTTCTTTCCACAAGTTTAGTGGTTACCCTGGACATTTTAACAAGCATACTTTACTACTCAAAATCTAAGTTATTTACTATCTTTTTCTTTCCTCAATGATATAGAACCTTAGAAAACTTTCACTATGATCATCTACCTCTGGACTTATATATTGTTGCATATTTTACTATTATTTTTCTTTTTCTAACTCCCAAGACATTTTTATTATTGGTTTATATTATCATTGTTTGCTAAGAGTTTATAGTAAATTTTTTATTCATTTTTCAAATCTGACTGGTCAGTTTTATGGTCTTTTGTTCTTATGTCTTCAACCTCTTGTGCTACTTATTTAAACATATTCTGCATTTGATAATTCAGGGAGTCTTTCGATGTCTAATTCTGAGTTATTTTTGCTGACTCTTATTCATGGTGCTGTGTTTGTCTTTGATTCATGATTTGTGAGGTTTTTTTCATATTCCTTGGAAATGTGTTTTTGGACTTTCTCCAAAAAGGAGGATTCTCATCTGCTTTTGTGGGTGTCTGGGAGAAATACCAACCTAAGAGCACTTTAAATCAAATTCTCAGCTTGAGGTTTTTGTGAACACCCAAAGTATACATTTTGTCTGCAAGCCTACATGAGGACAGGATTATTAATTGAAAAATCAGGGGAAATTTCCCCCCATGCCTGTTCAATTCAAGTTTACAGTCAACCTATTTTATTCACAATTTTCTGGAGGGCCAGGGTGAGGGATAGATTAATTTCTTATTTACCCTTACAGGTAAAATGGTAAGGTATCATCTGTCATGATGTTGGAAACAGATATTTGTGTGTTGAAACTTTACTGAAACTTCTAATTTGGTTTTAGAAAGGCAACGTCATCGTCGTGTGGTCGCCCTTGGTAATCAGAGCTTAGAGAGACTTTTGGGGAGAGTAATGAACAGGACAGTCCCTGATTTCTACTCACCATCCTCGGTGCCTGTTCCAAGTAGAATTTAAGCTACGCTCACAAGGTGAAATTTGGCTGGGGAGGTCATTGTGAGGACAGCTCTATTAACAGGCACAAGGTTTTCGATATCCACTTCCACTCTGGCTCTGCCGGGACATTGCCACCTTCCTCCTGTATCATGATCCTGGCTACACCCTCACTCTCTCCCCATCTGTTGGTTGCTCAACTGAAAACCTTTTTCTGCCCAGCCCTTCCAGCTCTCTCTGGGAGCGTGGGCCACATCATACCTGAAGGATCATCTTCCTTGGATATCTCCAATCCCAGACATCACCTTGACAAGTCATCTGTCCCACGAGCTGCTCCCTGTGCAGGCCTTTGACTAGCTCGTGGCCTCTTGACCTCAGTCCACTCAAGTGTGACCTCCGTGATCCAACTCAGACAGCCTTTGCTCTTTTCTTCTCACGTCCCCCTCCCCCCTTTCCCTTCCCTCTTCCATGTTCTCGTTCACATCATCTACTCCAGAGCTCTGTGGTTAGACACAAAATGCCACGGTTACATCTCCCTTTATATCACTGTGACTCCCCACCCACATTTTATTCCATGAGAGGTCAGTTCCTGTGTACACAGGCCCAAGTGTGAGTGACACACAGAAGGGACAGTGTGTTCCTTCTGCAGCCTCAGCACATCACTGTCCACCCCTTTCAGCCCCTGTGTTTTTCTCACTTCTAGTCCAAAAGGCCCAGAAGCAAACCTGGAGGTGAGACCTGAAGACAGCTGGGACCATGCTGACCTTGTGCGCTGTGAAGCAGACTCCGTCACCGGAAAGCCCACCGTCAATGCAGAGGAGGAAAATGGGGATCCCCAAATCTGCCGTGTGTGTGGGGACAAGGCCACTGGTTATCACTTCAATGTCATGACATGCGAAGGATGCAAGGGCTTTTTCAGGTAGAGTAACCCACCCACCTTTGCCCCCCTTGCCACCACTGACACCGTAGGTCACACCTATCTAGGGCCTGCCATTAGCTCCTGGGTATCCTCTCAGGGCTTCAGCTTGCCTGTCCTCCAGCTCCAGACCTGGCCCATCCAAAGGCCTCCTAATGAGTCTCAAGGGAGCCACTAATATCTCGGAGGAGTCCTTCCTCTTCTGTCTTCCTGCTCCATCTAGGGAAGTTCCCCCCGCCCCCCATTAAGCCATCCCCTGGTTTCTCCATATCTTCTTGAATAAAATGGAGGATCAGTCAGTAAAAGAGTAAAGACTTTGAAAATCCAAAATGTAAGTGTTCAAATCAGTCTCATGGGGTTGTTTTTAAGTAAAGAATGGCATAATATAAAAAAAATAACAAAACAAGCTCACCTAGAAACAGACAAACAGGGAGGACCAAAAAAGTAAGGACTAAAATGTCCCAGCTTACAGCAGGGCAGCCCTGGATGGAGGGGCTCGTGTTGTCCAGCTGAAGAGACAGAGCAAAGCCAGCTCAGCAAGGCTACCCTTGGCACAGGGCTCAGACCAAGAGGAAGAGAAGCGGACCAAAAAAGGAGGGATGCGTGAGGAAGCGCTCCCAGGGGCCCTCAGGAAGGGATGGGTATGCAAGGAGCAGCTCCTGCCTCAGGGGCCACGCTTGGGACCCGTGTGCATTTTCAGGACAGCCAGCCTGACTGGCTGGACATTCAAATAAAAATGGGCAGATCCAAAGGCGTCTTGTTCCAGGGAGAAACGGACATCTGTGTTGGAAATGGTCTTCCGTTATAAGAGAGGCAAGACAGGGCAGCGGTGTCAGGCTGCATCCAGTTACAAGTCACAGGACACTGACTCAGACTGGTTTGACAATAAGGAAAACATATTACATCTCCCAAGGAGAAGTCTGAAGGCTGCCAGGTTGGTGAGTTCAGCAGCTCCATTCTTTCCAGTTTCCTCTTCAGCCGTCCTACCTGAGAGCTCTGATTTCAGTCTGTCTCCCCTTGGGCAAGCATGGTGCCAGGGGTCCCAGGCAGTCACCATGATGTTCAGTGAAGGAACAAAAAGGCACATCTCTTCCTCGCTCCAAGAGGAAGGGAACCTTTCCTGGAAGACTCCGTCAGGAAACATTGGCGATAAGCGGGGACCCAGCCTACTCCTCAACTAGTCAGTACCAAAGAGCACCAGATAGATACCAGAGCTGGGCACATGCCACATGGCCGCAGGGAAGAGGGTGGACATCTGTACCAGATCTGGATTCGGCCAGCACGGAAGAGGCCACAGGATTGGCTGTCCCAGCAGCAGCCGTGTGTTACTGCCTTGGGGTGCGGGAGTCCTCTGCTCTCCCTTGCCCATTTGGGTGCTATTCCCAGGATCCCAGAAGGCAACATGTTGTAGTGGCTAAGAGCTTGGATTCTCGTATCAGGCAGACCTGGATTCACATTTCAGCTTATCTTTTACCTGGAGAACAGTTGGGGAACTATATTCTCAAAGCCTCAGTCTCCCTCATCAGGCAGATGACATGATGAATTCATAGGGTTCTGAGAACGAAGTTTGCAAAGCTCTGCAAAGTATCTAGCCCAGCATCTGACACGTAGCATGCCTTTAATAAATGTGATCCCTGGTTTCCCCTTTTACCCATTCTGGGTGGACTTCGGAGTAGCATCAGGGGTCTTTTAACTGGGCCAGCAGGGAAGGAAGAGGCAGGAATGGTGTCTGTGAAGAACATGCATGTAGGCTGGTCACTGGCCCGAGGCTTCAGGCCCCCAAGCTCAAACCTGCAGGGGTCATATGAGCGTGGCTCAGCCTCCCAGGGACGCGATGCCTTCAGGGACCTCTCTGCAGCCCCGCCTGGCCATTCCCAGCTTTCCCTCATTTTCCACTCTGGACCAGAGCTATGGCCAGAGCCATGGGGGAATTTCTTTCTTCCCTTCCAGCTGTGGAGGTGGGGGAAATGAAGTTAAGGCTGCACTGGCTGGGTCTTTTTTTTTTTTTTTTTTAACTTTTTTTAAATTTTTTTTTTTAACCACCCTGGCTGGGTCTTTGTGGGAAATCAGGGTGTCTGGGCTGCGGGAAGCGGGTGGCTGGGCGGAGTCTACAAAGGGCGTCTACCCCGAGCCTCCCCTGGCGCGGCGTCCGTGCACGGCCTGCGATGCGGTGCCGCAGGCTCCCGTGTTACAGGGCGCTGAACCTCCTCGCCCCCAAGGTCAGCGAGGGAATCCGCCCTCCAATGGGGAAGCCATTTCCCGTGAGGGAGAAAAGCTGCCCCACAGCTCAGCCACCACTCCCCGGCTTCCCAATCTAGGATGGGAGCTGCGGAAGGGAGGGGGCTGCTTCTGTTCCTTACTCTGAGGTCAGGTTTCCTCTGGCTCCCTCTTCCAAGGAGGAGAAACCCCAGAGAGGCCCATCTCCATGGAAACATCCCTGGTAACAAGGATGTGAGGAAGGGGAGACGGGGAGGCACTGGGGCTGGGCCTGGAGTGTCCCAGAGAGTGGCGGACGGCGGCAGGTGCCTGCGGAGAGCTCCCAGTTCCTGCTCTGCCTCCCCTAGGGACGCCCCGTAAACTCGAGCTGGCGGAGCCCCCACCTGTACCCTTCCCGCCGAGGCTAACCGGCTCAGATCCGGAGGGGAGGGAGGGCGGGGCACTGGTCCAGGAGGGGCTGGGGACAGAGGTGGGTGTGGCCTGGAGCCCCGGCCGGGAGCCCGAGTGCGACGCAGCCCCCCTTCTGCTCCCCGTTCTCTTACAGGAGGGCCATGAAACGCAACGCCCGGCTGAGGTGCCCCTTCCGGAAGGGCGCCTGCGAAATCACCCGCAAGACCCGGAGGCAGTGCCAGGCCTGCCGCCTGCGCAAGTGCCTGGAGAGTGGCATGAAGAAGGAGAGTGAGCGGCGGGGCCCTGGGCGGCGGGGTGGCGCGGGGGTGTCGGCACGAGGCTCTCCAGACGGGCGTGCCCGCGTGCGCGTGCAGATCGCCGCGGTGCGCGCCGGCACATGCGCGTGGGCCGCGGTCTGTGTGCGACAGGCGGCCAGCGGGGCTGCGGGGGGAGACGCAGGGCGTCTTTGATCTCTGCCCTGGGAGATGAGGCGAGCCCTCTCTCTCTCCTCCGCTGCCCCAGCATGGTTCTTTTTGTCCCTCTCCTAATTGTTCTTATGGTGGTGTGACAAAATCTGGGGCCAGGGTGAATCTGGCGGAGGGAAGCAGGAGACACGAGGTGTGATGCGACCCCCGCCCCCTACCGCCTTGTAGCTGCTAGCACCCACCAGCTGCCCCAGACCTGGATCATATAGGGAAACTGCGGACAGGTGCCATGGGGCATTCTCATTCTACCTGTTTAACTTTGGAATGTTTGTGCTCCCAGGACACTCTGAGATTAAAAGCTCATGGGGAAAATCTTTCCCATGGTTCACTCTTTCCTCCCTGGCTCCGCAATCTAGGATGGGAGCTGGGGAAGGGAAGCTTCTAGTATATATTTGTCTCCCATGAACACAGAGTGACCAAAAGCTGTGGGCTGCCTCTTTCAGGGACAAGTTCTCTGGGCATTCAGGCAGAGAGCCTTTCCCGCAGCCAGCTGAGAGTTGAGGTCCTCACTCAGGTGTCCCCGATGACAAACGTCCTCCATCTCCCCCTCCAAGGACTCCACAGCTTTGCTCTGCACACATGAGTGGGCTCCAGAAATCCATGGAAGACCCTAAGGCTCCAGGCTATATAGGAAGTGGCTGGAGTTGCTATTTCTTGCTAAATAGTAGCCCCAGCTCTTCTGGGCCTTGAAGACCCAGAGGTCTTGGAGGACTTTGAGGAGTCTTGTTGGCATATAATCCACCAGAAAATAATAATATCTGGTTCCATTTATTGAGTATCTCTTGTGTACGAGGAGCTGTGCTAGGCACTCTATGTTAAGACGAGATGCAAAGTCTCATCTTAGCAGAGTGAGCTAACCTGATTACTCCAGACTACAAAGAAGGGAACTGAAGGCAGGAGAGGTTAAGGAGTGTGTTAGAGGTCACGGTTAGTCAATGGCAAAGCTTTCATGTAAGCCCAGTGCCTTTGGATTCAGAAGCCCTGGTCCTACAGTGTCCTCGAGAGCCCCTTGGCAGAGGGTGGCACACCAGCCACACCGGCCGCGCCTTCTGTCCTCACCGAGGTGTTTCTCCAGAGGAGCCCACAAACCTCCGGAGTCCGGACAAGGGAGGATTTCTTGTCACCATCACTTTCTGCTTCCCCTAATGCCTTCTGCTGCCTTGAGAGAGTTGCAGTGGCCCCTGCCCTGCCCCCCGGGACTGGAGGCTGCCCAGGGCACACGTGCCTGAGCCTGCTCCGCTCTCCCTGCAGTGATCATGTCTGACGCGGCCGTGGAGCAGAGGCGGGCCTTGATCAAGAGGAAGAAGAGAGAACGGATTGGGACTCAGCCACTGGGAATGCGGGGCCTGACTGAAGAGCAGCGGATGATGATCAGGGAGCTGATGGATGCTCAGATGAAAACCTTTGACACCACCTTCTCCCATTTCAAGAACTTCCGGGTAGGAAGTGTTACAGTGGCCCCACTCCTGTGCTAGTGCTTCAAACCTCAGTCTGTCCCCAGGGGTTCTCAGAGTGTGGTCCCTGCATCAGCAGCGTCAGCTTGCAAATTCTCAGGCCAGCCCAGTCCTCCTGAATCAGAAACTCTGGGTGGGGCGCAAGACTCCCAGGTGATTCCAACTCATGCTAAGTTTTGAGAATCACTGCTGTCTCCTTCAAAGCAGGTAGGAATTGGATCCGAGCGATGGATGGAGGGAAAGTTAGGAGGTTCCCCAGCATGGCTGGCCATCAGGGCTTTATGAGGACAAGGTCAGGCTCTGTTGGGGGGGTGACCTTTGTGAATTGGTATTTATTAGCCACATGGGTGCTGCCAGCGCCTTCCCTTCCTTCTGCGCTCAGAGGTATCTCAGGTATCCCACTGGCCTCCGATCTGCTCCTTCTGTCTGTGGCTCCCTAACCTCCTCTCTGAGTCTCCTGAGCCCAGTGTCTGGGATGCTGAGCACACATCACAGGTGGACGTCCCCCTCGCCCTCCATCCTGCCCCGGCAGGGATGTGTGTGACCACTAATTCGTAGAGCCAGAAAGCACCACATGATGGAGGCCAGAGAGAAGAAACAAGTACTCTGTGTGTGTGTGCACGTGTGTGAGTACACATGCATGTGTGGGTGTGAGTGCCAGCAATTGTGCATCCTCTTAGGCTGTGCACATCTGTCTAGGGCCTGAGTGGGGACCTCTGAATGAAAACACATGCTATCTCTCCTCTCTCCACCTCCTGGTGTGTGTCCCAGCTGCCCCAGGTGCTTAGCGGTGGCCACGAGATTCCAGAGTCTCTGCAGGCCCCATCAGCAGAAGCAGCTGCCAAGTTGAGCCAGATCAGACAAGACATGTGCTCGCTGAAGGTCTCTCTGCAGCTGCGGGGGGAGGACGGCAGCGTATGGAACTACAAACCCCCAGCTGACAGCAACAGCAAAGAGATCTTTTCCCTGCTGCCCCACATGGCTGACATGTCAACCTACATGTTCAAAGGCATCATCAACTTTGCCAAAGTCATCTCCTACTTCAGGTAGGATGCGGAGGCTGGGTGGATGGGCGTGGAAAGGAACAGGAAGTGGCTAAGAGGTTCAAAGGGTCTAGGGTAGATCCCTCTGAATTTGGGGGATGTTGGTGCCAAAGACCCTCCTTTATCTCTGCCCCCTGGGAAAGCTGGTGCTGCTGGGAAACAGAGCCCCCGCTGTGTGGCTCGGTAGCTCTGTGGCTGCAGGCCTGCCCTTCAGCCTGACGGTGTCTCAGCCCGCCCCGCTAGACGGGAGCTAATCATACCTGCCCTGCAGGCCTGCCGTGGGAAATAAGCAAGCATCTGAAGAGCACCCGGCACATGGTGGACATTCAGACAGTAATTCCCTTCCCTATTCCCCACAAAAGAGCGGAAACCTTAAGCTGACAGTTCCAGAGCAATTAATGAATTGGAAGGGAAGGAAAGGAAGTCCAGGGGGAGAGGCAAGGGGAGAGACAGGAACGGGTGGGTCTTAGCAGTCTGCCACAAAGACAAGGCTGAGAAGGCCATCAGAGGATGGGTGGTCTTGAGAGCCAAAGGGCCAGGGCTCCCTGGAACTGGTGCAGAGGCAACAACCATGGGTGACTGTGGTTAGCAGGAGACCTGGGACTTCCCGGTGTGGTGGGACCCACAGCCCCATAACATGCGGTCCATTAGGGCTGGGCATGCTGGGTGTATCTCCCGTGCAGGTCCACCTTGCTGTGCTTAGCGTCGCAGACACAGCGGAATCACGCACACAAGAACCCTTGTTTTCAGGAGCAGGTTATATCCTAGGAGCCCACAGGTTCCCCTGTGGCCCTGTGGGAGACACACAGGACTTATTTAATGGGGTGAGGGTGACAGCAGGTTGGTGTGGGGTTCACATGTGACAGATTAGCTCAAGGGGAAGGGAGAGAAGCTGCCCACAAATGAGGACACTGGACAACCCCTGCTGAGATCCTTTGGCCCCCACTGGAACAGCAGGCTGGGAGGCCACTCACTGTTTCTCATGGACACCAGTTTTGAGCACAGTGACCAAGGCACCACTACCACCTGCATTCTACAGATGGAAACCGAGGTTCACTGAGGTTAAGCACCTTGTACAAGGTCACAGCTAATCAGTGGTGGAGGGCAGATTTGGAAGTACCAGAGCCAGCTACCTGCCGGGTCCTGAGCTAGACATTGGGGAGACACGAGGAGTAAGACTGGTTTCATGGCATTTGTAGTTCAGTGTTGTAGATCTAACAGAAGGGTGGGTGGGTGGGTGGCGTGCAGGGCCTGAATTCCCAAGGAGACCAAAGCCAGGGGCAGGGCTTCCTCAAGCCAGCTCCAGTGGCCTCCGCCCAGGCTCTCCCAGCCTCCTCCTTGTCAGGATCACCTCCTGATTGCTGAGGTGGGGCCCTCCCAGGTGGGGAGGGAGCGATCCCAGCAGGATGGGAGGGCTGTCACCATAACCATGAATATCAGAGGCTTACCAGTGGCCACCATGGCTAGGCCTGTGCTCAGCGCTGGGAGTGGGGCTAAAGGCTTCTAGGCTGGGTGAGGAGAAGCCGCAGAAGTAGGTACATACATGTTAAATCCAACACAGACAACAGGAAGTAAATATCCCCGCTGCGTGGAGCTCATGGCTAAGGCGTGGCACTTGCAGAAGGACTGTATTCTGGATGGACTTCTGAGGGGGCAAAGACATAGCTTGGCCTTGGGGGGTAGGAGCTAATCTGTCACAGTCTGCACTGAGGAGGACACTATGAGGCCAGGGACCGGAAGCCAAGGCATCGGCAGTCTGTCGGTCAGGGGCTGTGCAGGGGTGGAGCAGATGTGGTCAGGCTGTACGGGACCTGGGCGCCAAATTCAGTGGGCAGTGGAGAGTCCCTGAAGGAGGCAGGGGAGGAGAGGATATGGCAGGGAAGAGTAGTCTCCTTGGCAGGGGCATGAGGGAGAGATGGGAGGCAACCAGAAAGCAACGGCAGTAACCCTCAGGGAGGGAGCCCAGCCACCTCTGCTCCCTCTTCCCCCCACAGTTTCTAGATGAGGGGAGTGGGTGCTGGTGCTGGCCTGTGGGTGGCTTCCCAGGGAGCTATCCTCCCCTCCCTGTCCTTGCTGCCAGGGACTTGCCCATTGAGGACCAGATCTCCCTACTGAAGGGCGCCACCTTCGAGCTGTGCCAACTGAGGTTCAACACAGTGTTCAACGCGGAGACGGGGACCTGGGAGTGTGGTCGGCTGTCCTACTGCTTGGAAGACCCTGCAGGTGCCCGAGAGATGCTTGCCCGGGCGGAGGGAGAGAAACACAACAGTTGTGGGAGGAAGGGAGCTGCTGGGATTGCAGGTCAGGAAGACCAGGTGATGGACAAAAAGACCTTAGTGAGGGGAAGGCTGGACCTTGGTCAGCTTCTATCCTATATTATCCACAGGTAGCTTCCAGCAACTTCTCCTGGAGCCCATGCTGAAATTCCACTACATGCTGAAGAAGCTGCAGCTGCATGAGGAGGAGTATGTGCTGATGCAGGCCATCTCCCTTTTCTCCCCAGGTGACGGCCTCCCCCAGGCTGGCTGACGCCCCCTCAGCTTTACCTGCAGGAGGCAGCAGCCCCCGCCCCCGCCCTCCCTAGGGAAGCTCCCAGCGGATGGCCGTGCTCCCCATCACTGCGGGCCAGGATGGGGACTCTGGCTGGTTTCTCCTTGGGTCAGTTGGGTGACGCGGAGCCCTAGTCCTCTTGGCCTGGGTGGCCCTGGCTCTGGGAGGGGGTCAACTGGCACTGCCCACGTTCTGGGCCACACTGATCTCGTCTTTGCCCCATGGCCCCTCCAGACCGCCCAGGTGTGGTGCAGCACAGCGTGGTAGACCAGCTGCAGGAGCGATTCGCCATTACGCTGAAGGCCTACATCGAGTGCTGTCGGCCCCAGCCCACCCACCGGTGAGCACCGCGGGAGGGAGGACTTGTGAGGGGGTTGAGGCTGAGGGCAGTCGCCCAGGCTTCCACAGCCAGAGGGCTGGGATCTGGAGGTGGACCCAGCTAGACCATGTCCAAAGCTCACACTTCTGAGCACCAACTAACCACTTTCCAGGAAAAACACAAGCAAACGGGGTAGGAAACTCTTTAGTTTGTTTTGGTCCTAACTCAAAAGAGGAAGGCTGCTCAGGACTTGGCCTAGACAGGGGCTTCTGCACCTTCACTGGTCCTCAGTAGTTCCTGTGATCTGCACCCAGTCTGATGTCCATGGGCCCAGAGACAAATGTGGATTGTCCTGAGCCCAAGGCCACGAAGAGTTAAGGCCAGCACTGGGTGTTATAGTGTGAACATGAAAACTCAAATCCTCACTTGGCCTGCACCAGCTTGCTTTTTGGCTCAGTGTCCTGAGATGCTGGGAGTGGCTGTGCCTTAATTTGCTCAGTCCTTTCCTGTATGGAGCCAGGAGGCTGGAGGTGTCTGCTCTCTTTTCCATCATGGGGAAACTGAGGCACATGGTATGTCTCAGACACTCAATTCAAAGCTAGTTCCAGGAGGGAATTCCAGCCTTCAGTCCCTAAGCTCCATGACTACTCTGCTCAGTCCTGGCCCTGGACACTAACCAAGGCAGACATTCCCCACCCCCACCCTCCCCCACCCCCACCCATTAACCCATGAATTTGGCACCTGTAATGTCACCCGAGGTGACATCTCTATGTACAAAGATGCAACTCTTGAGGATGGGGTGGATGTGGGAAAAGGACAGCTCCCCCCTCAAGCACCCGGCAGGTTGTTCTGCTCTTCTTGTCCACAGGCTGAAAGAGAAGCTGAAGGAATACAGCCAAGCTTCGAATCTTGGCTGACCTGAGATGTCCTGGGATTAAGCTTGTGCACCCTTAGAGCAGCCCTGGGGGTGGTGGGTCAGGGAAAGGGTGGGCTGCACCCTCAACCTTCCTTCTGGCTGGCACACAGGTTCCTGTTCCTGAAGATCATGGCTATGCTCACCGAGCTCCGCAGCATCAACGCCCAGCACACCCAGCGGCTGCTGCGCATCCAGGACATACACCCCTTTGCCACCCCCCTCATGCAGGAGTTGTTCAGCATCACAGATAGCTGAGCACTGCCCTTGGGTAGAGCCTCTGTGGGCAGCCAGACCTAGAGGCCTCTGAGCCGCCACTCCTGGGCCTAGACAGATGGACGCTGCCAATAGCCGGCAATACCCTGCTGAGCCTGCCTCCCTGGGGAACTCACTGCTATGGCCACATCTGGCCAACATCCCTCAGGAAGAGGATGTGGGTCCTCCCAGCCCTCAGTTCATTTCATTCTGCGGAGAGTGCACTGGCTGGTAGGTCAGGCCCGTCAGAGAGGCAAGGCTGCCCCCCCCCCTTAGCAAAGGCACTGTGGTCTGGGGAGAAATCCCCAGATCCCACTAAAGTGTCATGATGGGGGAGGGAAAGGGGTGACTGGTGCTGGGCCATCTGAAGGTCAACACCCATACCCAAGTTCATGAGCTTCTCGGGTCTCTTCATTGCTCTGTTAATAATCTGGTCTCCCACTTTCCCTCATTCCCAACTCCCAGCCTCCTGTCCCGAGCCGCTCAGTGGGTTCCAGGGCTATGCTCATCACCAGGTGCATTAGTGTCTGTGGGAAGCTTCTAGACAGAAGCCAGGTGGCCTGCACCAAATGTCAGAAGCTTGTCATGACCTCATTTGGGCATATCACTCTGTGTCTTTGCATCCATTCAAACACATCGTTAAGCACCAACAATATCAACTGTTGTATACCCCTGCTGCGGGGTATACAATGCTGACTCAGATATGGAGCCTAACCTCTAAGAGTTTATATTCATAGTTAAAAAAACAAAGCAGAAACACAAATAACTCGGATCGAAAGGAGAAATGAGTGAATAAGCAGCTCGAGGAATTTCTTTTGTGTGGACGCTGAGATGTGCTGGGGTTCTGCGGGCACCTGGGCCCCAAGTGAAGGTGCCTTAGGACACATGTTTGTGGGAGGAAGGGCACAGACGGTGGCCATGGGTGCACGTGTGTGACTTGGTGTGGGTAGGACTGCTCCCCATCTGATGGGGCCTGGGTTTGCTACTGAGGCTGCAACACTGGGGTGCTGTGGGCCAAGGCTATGTTGACAGTTAATAAACATACTAGTGTAGAACCATTTGCAGCATCTCATGTTCCTGTGTACATATCTGTTCTCAAAGCTAAAGAATATGAAAGTGTCTGTCTGATTTACAGCCATTTGTGAGTAAAAATGTTTTTACATTTTCACCAATTACACTTTAATTTTACGAACTAATTTTTTTAATTTTAAGAACTAGGCTTACCAAATATGTTACATGGTTTAATGTCAAATCAAGGCAGTAGAACTTAAATAATGAAATTTTGGCTAGAGATGTAAACTTTCTTTGCCTTTATTTTCTGGGGAAAATAATGCGGGGATGAGCAAATACACACACACACACACACACATTTTTAGTATTTATTATTGCCCTTTACAAATCTGAAAACTCTTTTGGTGTAAGAACATAAAAATGAATGATTTAACTTGATTTGCTCATAAAATGCTTTATATAAAAATTTAAAGTATTACATTCTGTAATTAAAAATGTAGTAATGAATTAATTTTAAATGTCTAATATTTTATTGAAGATAAGGCTATAAGGTAACTAAATTTTAAGGAACAGATAATTGCTTAGCTTTTTATCATTTTATAAGCAGTAGGCCAAACTTTGAGAACATGGTAAATCATCAATAATATAAATCAAAGCAAGTAAATATATTCTGTGGCATCTCTCTGATTTTCTAGCCTTTTCTACATCAGGGATATAGAAAGCACTCATTTTTGGAAAAGAAACTGAGGGAAAAAAGCTCATCCTTCCAAATTCAATGAATATAGCTTTTGCTCCCAGGAATTTTATCTATAGACTTATTTATAATTAGAAATATAAATTTCATCCAACTGTATTCATAAAGCATATGCATCTCTCCTACCCCATTGAAATAATTTTCTGTGGGCTATTCATCCAAGAGCCTGAAATTGTTCTTAGATGTAGACTGGGGAAAGGCAAGGTTAAGATAGAATATAGGGTAAACTTCTATCTCACTATATCAATTTTAAAAACACCTAGGCAGTTCCCTAAATACTGAATTAATATGTACATATGATTTATATAGATTGTAAAAACAAAGTGTAGTCTGAGAGTAAAAGTTCAAAGTTAGATGCACCAAAGAGCTCACACAGGATACTTCCTTACAGCAGCTTTGTGGGTCTTACCAGGTGCCAAACTCAACTTTCCTCCTCTTAAACATTTGAGTTTCCTCATTACTCCCCTCCCTGAGCTTTAGAGCAGGTGGAACCAAGCATCAGTTTCTAGGCATCTCTGTGGCCAATGTTTCCCCTGTCCCCCTCAGTTCAGGGTCAGTTAGGAGAAGATGGGGTCGGTTTCTAAAGCTCAGGGAAAAGAACTGAGTAAGCTACTGCACACACCTTTCAGCTCCCCTGTTAGAGCCGCTCATCAACCTCTCCCTACCCAGCCCAGACTTTAATTCAACTCTTGACACTGACAACAAATCTTCTGGTGGAAAGGTCCAGGGTGCCCTCTCCTTTTTGGACAAAAGAGGATGCAAAGAGAAGCACACATTGGATTAGCCATCCCTTCCTAGCTCCTGACAACTTGTGGGCCTCTTCATGCCATCTTCCGCAGAAGCTTGTTTCCCCTGGTTGCTTCCCTTTATGTACCCCCCAGCTTTCCTAAACTTGATGGTGCTGATAAGATGGGTGAAATATTGCATCTGAGAAATTGGTAACCATCGGGACACTTTTGTTCTACAACTGTATCTCACCACTTCCCACCACCTTTCCAAAACACCATCTACTATCATCATTCCCATGAAACATGATCCCAAAGGACTGTTTTGTTGGTACTTTTTGGAGAAACTTAGAAACTAAAAAGACAATCTTTAGGATTCTAAGTTAAAAGGATCTGGCAGGATACTAATAGATTGTTTAACTCATTCTCATATAGCTAAGGCAGACCTACCCAAGACAGCACTGAGTCCCAAACAAATGCACTTCAGTGCTATCAAGAGGCCCCTCCCACAAGTAACATCTGTTTTGGCTGATTCAACCCTCCCCCCCTACTGGTAAAAGTGGTTAACTACTTTATACATTAGTAGAATTAGCCAACCCACTACCACACTAAATAAATAAAAGAGGACCAGACTTTATCGAATATAAATTTGTTTTTATTGAAGCAGCAGTCACATGACCTTATATCTAGCCTTTAGATTAGGCCTGACAAGAGTTAGCCAGCCCTAAAAAAATGATTTTTTTTTTTTTGCACTAAGAGACATAACATGTTTACATACATCATCCAGTATTGGAAATGAGCAGACTGAAACACAGCTTGTGTTGGTTACCTGGGAGGTACAGCCCCACTGTTCGTGGTGTTCATATATTTTACAGAGACCCCCAAAGACCATTACTAATAGAATGAAAGTTAAAAGAAAATACAACTACACCAAACCATGAACACAGTAATCAAAGACAGCAGCTTATACAAGTTTTTTAAAATTGTCCCTTTCGGGGATGTTTTCTTTCTTTTCTAAGCAGTGTCTGCAAAAGCTTCCTCTACATCAAATCCAAGTTTCCAAGATGGAAGCTGCACCTCTTGGGGCTATACAATGGAATAAGATCATTGGAAAGAACGAGAAGTGGTGTTCATATCTTGATTTTTATAACAAAGATTCATGTTTCTTGAATTAGAGGAATGGAGATGGTGATGTGACTACATATTTCAGTGGCAAAATAGGTAGGGTGAAGAAAGAGGGTTGGGTACTGAAATAAAGACCACACACTTGTGAATTTTAATTTCATTTCCAGGCTAACCTACTTTTTATTTAATGCAAATTACAGTACCAGTTAACTATTTCCAAACCAAGTCACATAGAACAAAATGTATTTACAAGGGAATGGGGAAAGGGAAAAAAAAAACATTGAGCATACTTTTCACAAAAAAGTTTATATTTAAAATGAAAAAAAAAAAATCAGTCACAGAGGCATTCAAGTAGTAATAATGTTATACAGATTTTGCTTTTCCTTTATATCAAGACAGATTTGCACAAGTGTTTGCAATAGTTTGTATACAACCCACAGTCCTTTATATATATATATATATATAATAAATTTTGTTTTTTAGATTAGTTTTTAAGATGGAAGTGGTCACGCTAATTGGTATGTGTACAGGCCCAAGTGATCCATCGGCAACACATTTATAAATGCAAATTTTACAGGCAAGCAGATTTTCATACATCTATCTGTATCTGCCTGTAGACAGATATAGTAAGAAAAAAAACTTAAAAATTAACACAAGGAAGTCTACTTTGTCAAGCTAACCCCTTATGTACTGGTTGTCATTTTGCTTTTATTGCGGAGGTGCAAAACGGAGCAACAAATTTGAATGAAACAGCATTACCATTGCGAAAATAATCCAAACCCCAGGGATTACTTTCAAAGCCTCTCAAAGGTAGACCTCAGTCTGGGACTTTACTGTGCTTCTAGTTGTCTCTCATTTTCAGTGGCTCAGGTTTCTACCAGGAAAGACAGACTTTATTGTAAAGCATGCCTACTTTTCTATATAGGGGAGAAAAGTGTTCGGCTCTGTGATTAGATTATCACTAACATTAACAATAGGAATCAGACACAATTTTGGTTTAAAACAAAACCCCCCAAACTCCTGGGGATCTGGCATTGGCCAAACTTCCTTTGGAAGATTCCAAAGCTAAATCCTTTAAAAAGGGAAAAATAAATGAGATGCCAGTGTCTTTACATCCACAGGGATAGAGAATACAAGTCTTCTCAGAAACCTTTGCATTGGTGCAGACAAGATGACTGGTTAGGCAAACTCTGTTAAATCACAAACCAAAAATATGTCTAAAAATGAAGAGGTCTTTAAAATATGATACAACATGTCATTGGAAAGAAGGTGCAGTCTTCTGCCTTGTTGGAATGAACACATGATGTTTCAAAAATAGCAACCTTTGGTTTGGTAAAATTTGTTTTTTCTTCTATTCAAGACATCTTATATGGAGTTCTTGGAGGCAAAACAAATACTTTCTATTTTTTTCTTTCAAAAAAGGCCTTCATGTTGGGCACACAGTAAGAATTAAACTGATTTTTAAAGAGGAAATTAAAATGACATTTCACTGAACAGAGGAGAGATGGCAGGAGGGGGGAT